TAAAACCTGCTGAATAAATTAGTTGTATATCCAAGGGAAAAGCACAAAAATCTGCCAGTGTCACTCATTTGAATAGAGGTGCTCAGTTTGGATAAATTATTAGGTAATTTTTCAAGGCTATCACTCACAAGTAAGGCCTTTTGTGTGTGTGTATTTAAATGATTTATTTGCAAGTTCTCATAAATTTAAAATGTTTTCTCATTCACATCGTCACAGCTTGACAGGGCTGCTCAGAAGGCTCTTTCTTCCCTTGTGTGAGAGTTACAGAGCATGACAGTATGTGTTTGAATGTGTGCTGGTGAAGTGCTCTCCTGCCTGCTGTGGTCAAGTTCACTCCATCAGTCCACTGTTGGTCACAGTGATTCCCATTCTGGCGCCAAAGACTTCTGTAACATTAGCGTGAGTTAAGCTGGTGCTGCAGTATGTCTCTAACAGATTCAGAGTGTGGTCCTTTGAAGTCAGCTTTGGGGCAGGCTATTCCCAAATTCACCTTTAGTCAGAAGTATGGGGGGTATATATGGGGACACAATTTACATAGCTCACTCCTATGAATCCTCCTGGTAAATAATAGATGTGAGCAAGCAGCCCTGCATGTATCAAGACAAATCCGTACTATTTCCTGGCACACAGTGAAGCTTCTTTGGGAATGATGGCTCCATATAGTCAGAAAAAATAGGCTCATGAGCCCACGGTGTGAACCTTTTTCAGTAACAAAAATAACAATAAAAACATGGAATGTATTATTTAAAAATATCAGGGAGGGATTCTCTGTTATTTATACAATCCCTGTTAATGAGAACAAATACCAATAATCTATTGTTCCCTTGATCAATAAATGTGCTGTGTGGTTAGCTGAATATTTTGGCAAAACAACATCCATTACTCATTCCATATGGATTGCAAATGTTTCCAGTATTGAAAAGACAATACCTGGCTCTTAAACATGATAATGCCGCTGCGTCTGATTTAATTTGGAGGGTGGGAGGGAAAGGGGAGTTTAGGATTTCACAATTTCTTTAGAGTCTACTTGCTCACCTATTCAAGAAATATTTGTTAAAAGCTATTGAATGCCAGGAAGAATCTTAGTGCCAGGGGTGTGAGCAGTGAACACACTCTCTGCTCTCCAGCAGCTCAAAATGTAGTACCAACACAGGCACACGGAGATTTTAGGGGAAAACTGGGATGTTCTCATTGTACTTGGGCTGCTCGGTGGAACCTTCAGAGGCAATGTTGAAAAGGAGGTTTAACAGATGAATTGGTATGTGGTTTTCATATGGACTTGGAGGCAAAGGGCGTTTTAAGCAGGGGATGACAAGTGAAAGGTTCCCGAGGCATGAAACGGCGTTCCCCTTCTCAGAACTCAAGAGGAGGTGAGGGAGGCTGCAGCCTAGATTGTTTTAAAGGCCGTGAGGAGGTCTGAACCCCCAGTTAAAAGATGGGCCATGGTGTTATCCAAAATCACTTATAGACCCTGCCAGGGTCTTCGATTTTTATCCAAAAGACTCTAAGTCATTAAAAAACTTGGGAATCGGTATTAAAAAAAAAATCTGAGGTTTAGAAATACCATTCTGGTTCTTACTATGTTGTTTATTACCATCATAGATGTTTCCCGGGAACCCAGCCACATAGTTAAATGAATCTAAGATCATTGCGATTTATCCTTACGTATTAGCAGGGTGTCCATAGACCCTCCCTGGTCTCCTGGGATTCTGCATACCTCGTCCACCAGTTTGCCTTTTCCGCAGTCTTGTGTTCTCCTTTATTCTCTCTCTTTCTTTTTCTCTCCCCACCCTTCTTAGTTTGTCCCATTGTTTCTTTCATATTCCTCCAACGTTGGGGAGAGCGGGGGAACACAAAGCACATAAACCACAAAATCCCTGGACCCATTCAGGTGTGAGTTATAGTTATTTATTTACGTGTTATCTCTTTTAAACCAGGGGGTGTCTATATCTTGTTCACTAAACATCGATCGAAAGCCTGGTGTATTTCTTTCTCTTTGCGGTGCTTAGGATATCATAATGAACAAAATAACCAAAGATGCCTGGCCGTGTGGAGCTGACTTTTTGGCTCGACAAGATGCACAGCAAACAATAACATAATTATTAAGTAAATTGTGTAATATATTAGAACATGATATGTTTTTTGGGAAAAAAGATAGAAAAACTAAGGAGGGTTGGGTTGGTTGGTTTCAATTTCAAACAGAGTGACTGGATGAGCCCCACTGAGAAGGTGAGATAAGAACAAATACTTGAAGGTGGAATGGGAGGTGGTGATACAGGTACCTGGGGATGGGTAGAGAAGACAGCCAGTGTGGCCATTAGGGAGGGGTCGCCAATAGTACCCAACATGGTGAAGGTCTTGAACTTTGTAGATGTGCTTTCAAAGTATTGAAATAAAGAGCAAGGAAGGTGTTGTCCTCCTGCTCATCATCGAGTTTGGCAAGGAGAAAGTAAAGGCATCCCGCTTCCATACTCCCTGAGAATGTGTCCTCTGTTCGGTAAGACGGAATTGGATGATACGATACCGAGTCAGTGTTTGGAACTCCACGACTTCTTGTTACTCCAGCAGGCCGAAATCTCCCTGCTACGGCTACACACACAACTCCACCCATCGCTTTGTTTATTGTACCTTTCGGTGTTTCATAAACACACTTTCCTGTGTGTTTTAATCCACTTGTTTCCAAATAGAAAGAGAATTTCCTTGAGGCATGTGTCATTCCTTATGCAACATGAACCTGGAGGAGGGCAGGAATGAGTGGATACATCCGTCTGCAAGTTAATCTAGTGGAACGCCACTGAGAGGGGCATTTGACAGAAGTAATTATCCCAGGGGAAGTGTGCAGGCCTCCAAATTGACGCTAAACATCCTGCCCTGCTAAAGTTCTGTGAGTTTGAAAAATAACGTCAACAAAAATTTCACTCCAGTAAATAATTAACAGTTTGTTGATAGATACACTTAAGAGATTGATTACCTCTAATTAATTATAATGGATGCCCACACCAAGTATTTAAAATAGCTGTAGCTTCTTTGGGTGTTAGGTTGATACTGTAATTTGTACCTTCTATCTCTAAAATTCACTTACAAATGCACTGATTTTTAGATTCTGTATATTTGTCAAACAGGATGCTGTAATTTTTTTGTATAAAACTAAATTTTTGTTCAGGTGATTTACTTCAAATAATTTGTTCTTGTTTCTAGGAGTCATTATCAAAGATAAATGGATTAGTAGTGGTAGTAGGTCAGAAAGTAATAGAACGTATTTTGTATATTCAGTGGGTTAGATTCAGTTGCTAGATTTTTTTGTATAAGTGGGCAGAAGGAGATCTGATTCTTAGAAATGCATACAATTTATGACTACTAGTGGTTAATCACATTTCTAGGAAATTAGTGTTTTCCCTGAAGTTTTCATCCCACTGTGCCCTTATGGACATCTGCTTACACTGTGTGCCAAAACCTATGGTTAATATATAGAATACATAAACACCTTTTTCTGATTAGTGCAAACATAATAAAAATAGTTGAAGTGCAGGTAAATTTTATAATATTTCATGATCAATAACTCAATACTAACATGACGAAATGAAGAAGTATAGTGTTTATTTCCTTCCTGGTATCAGGAATAACCAGGACTCATCACGTCTGTTAACAGGGTTCTACCAAGTCATTTTCACTTCATAGGTTCTCCACAGAGCTTTAGATTTTGGAAGGGGGCGAGCGTGAGTATGAGATTTCACTCATGCTCCATATACGTCTGAGCTGTATTTCCTAATAAAGTTTTACCGAGGCTAGAATGTTGAGCACAAGCCTAATCATTTTAAGACAATAATCTAAATTTGAATATGCTGCTTTAAAATAAATATATTGATTTAATTAATTTATTGATCTTTATTTTAACCTTTTAAAATAGGTACCTTATGGTCATTTGAGTTGAGTCATTTGTTCAGCAGATCTTTCTTGAGTGCCTACAGGTACTAGTTGCTTTTTCAGGTGCTGGATCAACAGGCACAACCCACGGTATAGCTGTGAATAGAAAGGTTAATGATCACAGGCCAAATGTTCATGTTAGGAAACCAGTCAGCTTTCTACTTCTGATCATTGCTTTGGTCATTAGAACTATAAAACTTTTTCTGAATGGTTTATTGATTTTTAGAGGGAGAGTGAGAGAGAGGGAGACATTGATATGACAGCACAACATCAATTGACTGCCTCCTGCACACCCCCATCGGGGACTGAGCTTGCAACCAGAGTGTGGGCCCAACTGGGAAATGAACCAACAAACTTCTGGTACACTGCACGACACCCAACCAACTGAGTCACACTGGCCAGGAGAACCATGAAACTTTTAATACAAGTTTGCATTGACATTCATTCATTTAGTGTCTTTGTTTTGTGGATTATTTTTGTTTGTTTGGTTGGTTAATACTTATCTGAGCATATGAGGATATTTTCTGATTTATTTATTTATTTATTAGATACAGTGGAAGGGAGGGAGGAAGAGAGAGAGAGAGAGAGAGAAACATTGATGTGAGAGAGACACATCAGTTGGTTGCCTCCCACACAACCCTGACAGGGGCTGGGGATTGAACCCGCAACCCAAGTATATGCCCTTGACCAGGAATCAAACCTGCAAGCCCTAGTTCCAAGGACCGAAGCTCTAACCACTGAGCAAAACCAACCAGGGCTCATTCAGTAGATTTTTTGTTTAAGACCTAGTCCATACAAAGCATTTGTCTTAAATATCAACACAACCACAAAGGTAGAAGCATATGGGTTTTTTTGCCATCATAGCTCACAATCTAACCAACCAGGGTAGACAAACACTCAAGACGCCAGTGATCAAGGTGACAATGATAAAAGTGTTAAAAAACAAATAACCTGCTATAAAGGAATCGGTGGGAAAGAGGATTCATTCTGATTAGAGCAATCTGAGAAGAAGTCTTTGAGAAATTTTCCTAGGTAGTATCTACCTTTTCATGGTCGTCTTCAATATATATATATATTTTAATAAAAAACGCTTCATGAATGTGCGTGGCACCTTTGCACAGGAGCCATGCTAGTCTTCTCTGTATCGTTCCAATTTTAGTACATGTGCTGCCAATGATCAACCCCTCCCCCCCCCCCTCAACTCCCACTGATACTCTAGTAGCAATTATTTTGACATTGCCTGGACCTACGAAGATGTAAATATATAGAATAGCCAGCCATCTGTTGCCACTGACTGAGGCAGGGAGAGTGGATATGTAGTCAACATTGTCTTTTGACTTTCCTTTCACTGACAGACTCCTCACGAATAGTTTGCATCCTTTCCCATCTCTATCCACTCTTGAGAATCATTTTTTGAATGATCACCCTTGATCTCCGTCTAGCCAAATACAAGAGTCTTTGATCATCTTAAACCTGCTTAACCTCTGTGGGTGGGAAGCTGTGACTGATAACCCCTGTCTTCCTAAAATTCTTTTCCCTCTTAGAGCTTTTCTTTACTATTCATTTCTTTATACATGAAAACTGTTTTTTCTCCTCATCTAATATGTTTTTGAAAGACAAGGAACCCATGGTTAATTTTATTTCTTGCAATGTGTGCCTTGCCAAGAATATAATAGATGCTCTATAAATACTTGCAGATTCACTTTGGGAGGTATTGTCTTGGTGGAACCCACCACTAGTTACTGCTTCTAGAATGCATAAGGGATGCAGATAATATCTCACTCATTTAGTAAGATACATCACTATCTTTTGTAAAATAAATTTAATTTGAAATCCAAATCCTACAAGGCAGATGGGAAGTTAAATCTCAGTATAGCACCCTCCAGGGTTCTATACGAATTGAGTGGATTAGGTAGTACTCAGAAAACAGTGGCAGGGCTGCTCTCTTTAGTTCATCTTCGTCACTGCTGATACATGTTTTTCCCACACAACCCATAGCTCTTCGATTCTGTGCCTCAGTTATGGCATGAGATGTTTTCCAAGGCTGAGCATTTGAGTGTCCAGAGCCAACGTCCTGTTACACGCTTGGACCTTTCCCTGTCGTCCCCATGGGTGCTTTAAGGACTTGGCCCCTTTCCTCATCGACAATAAACTCTTCTTCCTATGTGACTGCTCTTATTCCTGTTTCCCTGGCTTCATGGAGCCAGCTTCCTGGAGAGACACCTAAGAGCAAGAAGTCTCTAGACAAATTCTGCATTGGCCCCATGACCCAAGGTTTGTCAGTTTCAGCACCATTCACATTTGGGACCAAAATATTTTTTGTTGTGAGGGGCTGACCTGTTTCTTAGAATGTTTAGCAGCATCCCCGGACTCTACCAAATAGAACAGTAGCATCCCCCCCCCAATTCTGACCATCAAAAATGTCTCCAGGCATTGCCAGATATCCTCTGGAAGTACCAAATCACCCTGGTTATGAATCACTGTCATAAGTCAACCTTACTGAGATATGAAAGGCTCTCAATAAATTGCACAGCAATAAATATATAGTTAGAAATGATTAATTCTCCTTTAAAAAAATACATTAGAAAGTTAGTGAGAATCGTAGCCAAATAGGTGGATGGTAATGAAAAGGAAGGGGGATGGCATTGTTGGATCAGCAAGATGTTACTCACACTTACGAACACGAGAGGCTAGTATCCAGGCAGAGGAGGCAGGTTTCACATCCGTCCAACCTGAGAATCCAAGAATACTTTTCGTAATACCTTATACTGTTTCAGCTATGCAGTTCACTTTGCCAAATATTTTAGTGCATGCGTAAGAAGACCGCATTCTTTTCCTTTGGAATATTGCCTTTGTAGTGGGCACTAGGTTTCAGGCATAACAATTTTTCACTAAAGGCAAGTAGAAATGTGAAATGCCCATCAGTTGCTTCAAATTTGTGTAGCAGGTATCTCGGGAATTCTTAAGGGCTTTGACTTCCATAGACTATCTACATAAGAAATATTAGGCTTAGCTCAAAGCTGGTGCTATTTCTTATTTTGCTAGACTCTCCTAAGCAACTGAATACAATGTGAGAGAATTGAATGAGCAAAGGTGAGACTGGGCAGGACTTACAAAGAGGAAAAATGACCTATAGAGATGAAGCAGAGCATGATAACCACGGATTGTGTGATATGGCAGAGGCAGCCAATACGAAGGACGGAGTGAAGGGAAATGAGTCTGTAGAGTCCGGAGTGCGGCTGGGGATCCCTTACAGGCTGTGCTGATGAGCGTTGGCACTATTCTCGAAGCCACTGGAGAGCTTTAGCAATAGCATTCCATGCACAGATTTTTGTTTCAGGGAAAATAGACCCCAAACTATTACCGTGATAATTTGAACATTGGATTTGAGCAGACATACGTCTCTTTCCAGGGTTGCAAATTTTGTTACAGTAGATTTGATGATGCCTTAGATTCTGCATTTGTTACAGGCTTCCACATGATGCAAGTGTGTCTAGTTCATGGGTAGTATTGTGGGTAGCCAGGTTCTAACTGACGTCCACATGCTGCGTCCTGGAAGAATAAGTATTAGCATGTGTTAGTGAAGATGCGGTCTCGGGTGACTGGCACAGGGTGCTTCGACTCTGTCTTCAGGAGCTGGTTTGATTCCCTCTCCAGCTTTGACCTTCATAATTGGATAAACTTTCTGGCTCTACAGTCTCTGGTTCAAGGTTCAAGTCATTCTCCAAGGTTCGAGTTTGGTAGAAATAAATGACTTTCCTCTTTCCTAATAGTCCCAGTGGAGAGTCTCATAACATTGCGTTGGCTCCAATGAACTCGTGTCTCTGCTTCTATCAAATCGCTGTGGTAAGACAACCGACATGTCCCAGTTAGACTGGCCCCAGGTTAGTCCTGTCCTAGAGCCAGAAGTAGAGTCAACTTCATCTGAAGGGCTTGGGCTGATAATGGAGAAAGGATGCCATTCTCAAGGGGAAAATCAGGGTGCTGCACTGAAAATGTGATTGCATGTCTACTATAAACAGTGTTGGATACATACCAGAACTTTACAAATGTTCTTGATTTCCCAGGAATTTTTTCATGGTGCCCTAGTCCAACAAAAATACTCAACAGTTAATTTATTTGGTTGGTAGGTCCAACAACTTAATAAGGATTTATGTTCTAACAACTTACTAGGGTTCTGTTTATTAAGTAGTTAAGCACAAACAACTTAATAAGATTTATGCCCTAACAGATATAAATGGAAAAAATAATAATATTTTATCCTCTAAGAAGATGTGTGCACCTGTTGGACTCCACACAACTTCTTGACCTCAGGTTAAGATTAAATTTTGCCACCCTCATTTCCTGTTCTACATTGGTTTTCCTTTTCCTTTTTCTTTTTTTGCAGTAATTCCCCATTTTTCTAACAGCAATCCCAGAGTCCCCAGCTTTACAAAGACATGATGTCATCAAAAGGAACATAGTGTGAGCACCATATTTCTTAGAACTGTGAAGTACCTTAAGCAAATTGCAGGTGTGGTCTCCAACAGATGTTCAATATCACTGTGTTTCTCTAGAAAAATTTAAAATATCATGAGAGCCCCTGTGAATTCCCCATGTTTGGGAACCATGGTCTCAGAAATGTTACAGTTGAACTTCTTATGAGACATCAGTGTAAAGTGGAGAATCAAGTGTTGGCTCTGTGGGTTAAGTGTAGATAAGAGGTCTAGGCTGATGGGCCGCTCAGTATTGAGGTCTGATTCCTTCTGTGTCTTGGCCCAGAGACTTCTGGGATGGTTCACATCTTTTCCTTCTCATAAGAATAGTGACATACACGTGGTAGTCCACTCAGCTACCCCACAGCTACACAGTGTGCTAGTTTACTCTTTGATCTTATGAGTTCTGAGTCGGTCTAATTGATGTCTTCCATGGAGTAACATCTCAGTATTTGTATTTTATGTTTGCATTTGTATTTAAAATAGACTACAAACAAAAATTTTTTTTGCTTTCTAAAGTCTGAAATGTTCAGTTATTGGCATAAATAACTGAGAGGTGGCCATCATATAGTTTTTATTCAGGTTGTAAACCTGTTTCTTTAAACTTAACCAAGTGTAACATAGCTTAATTAATAAGAACTGAGCTGAGAAAAGATTTGAATTTGAAGTGACTTTTTTTTTCCCCTCAAAGTAGTTGACAGAGTGTTTTCCCATTGATTATGCTTTTCTCCTTGTTTGTTGTTTTCATGACATAGCATCAATATCCTCCGATCTGATCTTTAAAATAACTTAAATGTAGTCTGGAACCAGCAGTTTTCCCAAAGCATGTGCAACTTTCATTTTACCAGAGTCAGTAATGTTAGTATCTCCCTAGTTCATGTATGAGATAGAAGGGCCATTATTATATCATCATTATATCACTGTAGCTCATCTTGTAACACTTCTCATCATCTCATGAAGCTGTCATTCACACTCATAGCTCAGAATTACCTCTGTTACAGTCTCTACCCATAGTCCAGAAAACAGAACGTATTGCAAATATTAAGTACATTACTGTTATGTGAATATTGATTTTTTTCAATTAAAAAGTGAAAGGTACTAACAGTTACTCAGTTACAAAGAAATACTGTGTTTCTTTCTCTTGGAACATCTAAATAATTTCTACTTTATTTATAACAGCAATGTAATTTTAGACTTCCTATTTTTTCTGTTAGGTTCTCTTTTCAGTATCTTTTGATACTGCAAATAGAATATTGAGCGTATTAGCACAACAGTGACAATTGTTTATAGTAGACTTCGAAACATAAGATCATTGTACATGATTATTTTTGAGGCTTGATGTAATTTGTTTCTTCAATGACATAATCATGGCTTGGCTAGGACATGTAGTTTTGACACTGTGATAGTTCAGGACATGTGTTAGTAATGAGTGTCTGTGAGTACTTACCATGTCACATAAACAACGGTGCTTTCATGAGGTGTTGAAACATGCTTCTGCCCAGACAGCTGAGTTTGTTTGTGATCATGAATATCAACAGAGCTCCCCAAAGACAGTGCAGTTTCAGTATTGATGATTGTCCTCCTGATGGGGCTCTCAGTAGTTTTCTTAGTTCTTGTCTCAGCAGTTCCTCATGATTGACAGGTGACAGTCATAATCCTGGGTTCCAGCTGTAGTATTTTTTTTTTTTTTTTTTTGTTCAGACAGA